TTTTTGTCCTGTACTACACATTTTGCAAAAGTCGCAACAAAAAGACAGATTTACATTACTCATGAAACCTGATCAAAAGTAATATTACTTGATATTAACAGATTATCTCATTAGCACAGCTTTACTAAAATAAACAAGAAATTGTTCATGTCATAGCCACAGCTTCTATGGTCATGTTGCTTGTTGACATTTTAGCTATTGAACTGGGAGACAAACATATCTCAATTATTGGTTTCCAAAATATAATATAAATATTTATTTCGTCACCAACATTCTTGTTGACTGACAAAATTATTACACATAAAAATTACATACAAATTACCAGAATTTGTGACCTTAAGTAACCAAACAAATTTGGGGTTATGAGACCTTTTACCACAGTAATCAAATAATAAATTGCATGGATGTGTGAGAAAAAACTTTTGTAAAAAACAGTGTAAAATGAAACCACTTTGTAAAAGTTGAGAAAATTCATTGATAGTTGTAAATACCAATAATAATGTTGAGAGGACTATTAGAGAAATAAACTCATAATATGATCACAAGAGGGCGCTCTAACATGGAGACATTCTGAGAAGATTATGAACACCCAATGGTGCTCTGCATATATAATCTCTGCATCTGTTTTCAAATTAGAAGCTGTGAAACCTTGCAATTCTAAGTTTAGTAATATTTTGTTAGTTAATTATTTTGAAACACATAATATATTGTACTGGTACAGTATTATCCAATCATATAAATTGATGTATGGTAATTACAAAACAATATGTACCGGTGTGTACTGATGCAGTCCCACATGGTACAGTATTATCCAATCATATAAATTGATGTATGGTATGCAATACAAAACAATATGTACTGGTGTGTACTGATGCAGTCTCACATGGTACAGTATTATCCAATCATATCAATTGATGTATGGTATGAAATACAAAACAATATGTACTGGTGTGTACTGATGCAGTCTCACATGGTACAGTATTATGTAATCATATAAATTGATGTATGGTATGAAATACAAAACAATATGTACCGGTGTGTACTGATGCAGTCTCACATGGTACAGTAATATCCAATCATATAAATTGATGTATGGTAATTACAAAACAATATGTACCGGTGTGCATGCTTGTACAATGTAGAATCATCAGAAAAATGGTATGATCTAATATACTGTATTGAAATAATATGATCTATTCTTAAATAGTTTTTTTTCCAGCTGGCATGTGCATTAACACAGCTATCTAAAATTGGTTTGCATATTTTGCGCAGTTGTGATAATATATTTTTTCTTGAAATAAACAGATATGGGGATAAATGACTGTCAAAACTTTATTAATTCACAGCCTCTAATATTTCAGACATCAAATTCATTTAAAAAAAATTAATTATTAAATTTACAGTCAAACTTTTTATGCCAAACATAGCATTCAAATCATTATTAAACAAATTTTAAAAATTTGCTCCAGTATTAAAAATAAAAACTTATTGGTGAAAAATGCAAATTATGCCTTTAAAAGGTTCACAATGAATTATCTTTTACAATGTACAGTACAGTTCATATGTAACAAAACTTCAAAGCAGGCTACCAGCTGGCTTTGATTTTCATGGACATTCATAATTTTTAGAGTGAATGTCAAATATTATTTGTGATATTTGCCAGTGTTACTAATATGAGACATTTGTAGGCCGATTATAATGCACAATTTACATATACAGCTATTTTAAAAGCAGGCTTGGCTAGCTTTATGCCAGCTTAAAACTTAACAAAATGTTAACGTGTTTGATCATACTGTTTTTGACATACCTTCCAGCACCAGGTTCAGTCATGGCAATAGCACCAATTTTCTCTCCAGACGCCAGACCAGGTATCAGTCTCTCAATCTGTTCTCTAGAGCCATTATTAGCAATGTATGGCATTACAATATCACTGTGCAAGCCAAAGCCAACACCTGAGGCATTCACATAGGCCCTACAAAATTAACAATCATAATGTTATAAAGAGAAGGTATATTGGTTAATGGTCAAAATATAAATCTTAGAAAGAGAGGTCTATTGTTGCTTATGTAAACGCCCAGTACAGTTACCATACTGGACCACGTTAGCACCCATGCCCGGTCAAGCGCCCACCCCCACTTTTGTATATTCAGCAAAGCACCCACCCCTTCAAAATGCCACTAATTTAAAACTTGGTCTTTGATCCTTGCTTAACGAATACTGGTAATCGTTTTTATATGATACAGCATGAATATCAACCGCCGTGAATATGTTGTGAATGCGTAGACTATGGTAACTATGCGTAAACTATGCTTCGACAATGACCTGTTAATAAAAGTAAAATGCAGCAAATATTTCATGCCATATTCAGTTTACAGTTTTTTTAAAAAACCATGTCGTTTATTCGGGTAAGCGCCCACCCCTATAAAATCATGATTTTCTGAGTTGAGGACCTTGGGTGCTAACGTGGTTGAGTACGGTATTTCCTATAACAAGATGTTTTCAAGAACAAGTCGAAAAATGCCAAAAATATTTACTTAAATTAGAGAATTGAAGGTATCATCCCAAAATGAACAAATCTGAGAGAGAATCACTCAAGGTACATTTTTAGGAATAAGAAAATCATACAAGCTGACAATTTTTACATAAAATTCATTGACCTCTGATTGATCACAGCCAAAGACTGGACTTTAAACGTTGTAATCTGTCAGACTGAAAACAGCATGAACTTATTGGGACCTGTACGTCTGGGTATCAATCACCTCATATTCTATCTGACTAGCACATACAGAGATGGACTTCATCACTGAAGTCCAATGTACCACACACGTAGTAACAACCACATTTCAGTAACTTTGGGTTCATCTTTAATGCACAACGTAAAATAGTCCACTAACATTAAATCTATTCAAAATGAGCTGGAAGAGTAATAGATGAGTGGATTGATCACTTGCCTTAGAAAGCAAGATCTGATAAAAAAACTCTAAACTCTAAAATACTTTATTTTAGCTGGAATTAATATTCACTGAAAAGACTTTTCGAATGTTTTGTATAGAATTTTGTTTTTAACTGATTTTTGACAAGTTGAATGTAAAATATGGAAAAAAAGATATATTCGCTGGATTTGTTTTTCAATGAATCATTTCTACAGCGAAAATTAATTCCAAGCGAAAATAAAATATTTTACAGTATACTGAGAAAGATGATGAATACCAATAAAAATGCTATTGCCTTTCAATTTATTTTATCTAATCATATAAATTGATGTATGGTAATTACAAAACAATATGTACCGGTGTGTACTGATGCAGTCTCATATAGTACAGTATTATCCAATCATATAAATTGATGTATGGTAATTACAAAACAATATGTACCGGTGTGTACTGATGCAGTCCCACATGGTACAGTATTATCTAATCATGTAAATTGATGTATGGTAATTACAAAACAATAAGTACCGGTGTGTACTGATGCAGTCTCACATGGTACAGTATTATCTAATCATATAAATTGATGTATGGTATGAAATACAAAACAATATGTACCGGTGTGTACTGATGCAGTCTCACATGGTACAGTATTATCCAATCATATAAATTGATGTATGGTAATTACAAAACAATATGTACCGGTGTATACTGATGCAGTCTCACATGGTACAGTATTATCTAATCATATAAATTGATGTATGGTATGAAATACAAAACAATATGTACCGGTGTGTACTGATGCAGTCTCACATGGTACAGTATTATCCAATCATATAAATTGATGTATGGTAATTACAAAACAATATGTACTGGTGTGTACTGATGCAGTCTCACATGGTACAGTATTATCTAATCATATAAATTGATGTATGGTATGAAATACAAAACAATATGTACCGGTGTGTACTGATGCAGTCTCACATGGTACAGTATTATCCAATCATATAAATTGATGTATGGTAATTACAAAACAATATGTACTGGTGTGTACTGATGCAGTCTCACATGGTACAGTATTATCTAATCATATAAATTGATGTATGGTATGAAATACAAAACAATATGTACCGGTGTGTACTGATGCAGTCCCACATGGTACAGTAATAATTATCTCATGTTTATTAGTAAATAGAGTTTGTGTTTTTATTATGCTGCATGATTGTACAATGTAGAATCATCAGAAAAATGGTATGATCTAACTACTGTAGAATACTTTATTTTCGCTTGGAATTTATTTTCGCTGAAGGGATGATTCCGTGAAAATAAAATCCAGCGAATATACATTTTTTCCTATCTTTCACATTTAACTCATCAAAAATCAGTGAAAATAAATTCCATACCAAACACCCAAAATGCCTTTTCAGCGTAAAGTATTTCACAGTAATTAGATCTAATCACGTAATGATCTTTAGATTCTCAGAGCGAGCCAGTCAGTTTTCCTGGTATAAAATGATAATCTATGACTCACAAAATTTGTACTTACTGTTCCTCCATGACAATCATAGCAGACAGGAAATCACCGCCAATACCAAGATCATTTTCACTAATATTCACACCAAGTAATCCTTGTTTTCCAGCTTTTTCCCATACTTCCCGGCTGACTTGACCATCCTTCTCCCACCTGTATAAATACAGAATTGCCTGAATACATCCACATCAAATAAATTTTAACTGCAATATCCCTTGTCAACAACATCAATTACTGCAAGACAATTTGTGCAACTTTTTGTGTCTTTTTTTTTATAATTTCTTAATTCAAAAGACACAATTACTGATTCAATACAAACTTTGAAGATCATCGAAGTACATCAATACAGGACTAGAATTGTTATAGACACATTAAAGCCAATGCCTGGATGTCCAACTAGCATGCAGTAGTACCTTAAAAATATACACATAGTTATCAATACTACTAGTATAAAGACTTTTATCAGCTTAGGGTATTCCCTTAATTCCAAAGTTTTATTTACGACGATGTGAAAGTCCCCAGAATTAAGAAACAATTGACATACTGTTCATGATAAGGTGCCACTTCATCGCGAAAGAATTTCCGGACACTTTCTCGGAACATATCATGATCCTCGTTGAATATTCTTCTGGTTCCGATATCCATCAATGAGCCAGTCTGGCTAATTTCGGGGCGGAATGGTTTTGCATCTTCACCAGTTTCCGGGTTGGTTGTCTGGTGTCTGAGAAAATTAAACATAATTTATGACCCAAAAACTTTTCAAGAATGGAATTAATTTGTAATTGTTCTTTACTACTCAATTTATATTGTACACCACAAAGTTATTAATACAATGTACTATAATTCTTCAATTAAAAGTTGGACCACAGAATTTGTGTTGACGTAAAAGTTGATTAATTAATTTATTATGTAAATTCATGAACATATAGTTCTATTGTTACATGAAACAACACTATTATTTTTGTGAGCTACAGTAAATTGGCCTACCAGTAATTTTTTCCAGAATTCGCTACTAGTATTTTTAAAGGAAAAATGCAATTTTTGCCAATTTTTAAAACCCAGATTTTTAAAATAATTCAGCCTCAAATTTGAGAAATTGCTTAATATCTTTACCATAGGAATCAATGGTAAAAGGTTTAAAGGTCGGCAGTCATCGCGCCGCGTCCTGTTCGATATGGGACTTGTAGCGACGTATACAACGCGTGTAAAATACATTGTTTATTTACATGAAATTCGAACACGCGCTACACGACGACCACCGCGCTTTAAATACTAACAAAATTGCAGTTATTCACTAAAATAGCCTGTCATTTTAACTTATTTTAATTTAATACTTATATCGACCAGGAGCATAACAAATTCTGTGTATTTTCATTTAGGAGTAGGTTTCTACTGTATTTTGTATGTTTTTCCAGCAATTCAACCACATGGCAGGAAAGAGCCATATTCAAATGTTATTAATGCCCGAGTAAAATAGTTTCCTTGTTTAGCCAATTTCCACATGATTAGAAATGAAAAATCAAGGAATCTGCCAGATTTGTGGAGAAAATTTAAATGTGCTACTTTATCATACAAATTATGTTTTAAGATTTTATGTCAATTTTGTTCTATGAATCAACATGCTACGGGCAAGACACCAATTGAACAGTTATATTTGAAATTTTGCAAAAGAATACTAGGTATGAATAAATTCTCCTAAAATGCTGCATGTTGAGCCGAACTTTTCAAAACATGGTCTCAGAAAATCTTGTCTGTATCTGTCGCACATCAAAAATTGCTACCCGGTAAATTAAAATGAAATTTATATAAAATAATATCTGTCACCTATGTGTAATATGTACACCTCTGGATGGTATGGTGAATGTAGCAAATAATAAGAAAACTACTCTGTAATTTGGAACATAAAATCATAATGACTTGTTTCAGAATAAGCAGTCGTTTATTAGAAATAGAGAAGGATAGACATACCCAATCAGAAACACTTTTCGAAAACCATAATAAATATATAAGCAATGTTGTCAACAAGATTTGAAAATGAAGCAAATTTGTTCATTGAATGTCCCAGGTAGCAAACAAAAAGTATTTAGTAATATCAATATTCCAGAAGAATTGAAAAGTGATGTTCAGATATTTAAACACATTATGCAAAAAGAAGACAGAATAACAAGCCAAACTTATAAAATTTTACTTTTAAATTAGTATTTTATATACTGTATTAAACTTTTTTTTGCTTTTTGTAATAAATTAATATTATTATTATTAAAACTTTCTATTTTGATGTGTCAAGCTTACTTTAAAATTATTTCTATTGTTTTCAGTTTTTGTAATATATACATTTGAGATTTTTACATCCCAACGAATGTGTTACAATTCTTATACTTCAGTCTAAATAGTTCTTTTACCATACTGCTGTATCCATTTAGAGCTGTATTAAAATGTATGAATCGTGTAGATAGTAATAAGCAAATTCATTACTTCAGAACATTAAAACAAAATTGCATCTCTCAGCAAACAGAAGTTCTGTTCAATTATTCATTTCAGATGGGATTGTTATTGTTATACAATAATAATAATCTTTATTGCATAATAGTATCTTTATTTGGATATTGACTCAGAAAAAAAAAATTACAATAAAGACGAAAAACTGAGGAAGTAACAAAATGGAAGCACTAAAATTGAAAAAAAAAAAAGAAGAAATAGTATATGTGTACGCAGCTTATTCTTTTGGTTTTTGTCTTTATTATCATCATGCATTTGTTCTTGACTCTTGGTTTTGAGTTTAATGCAAATTGTGTTGATTAGATTGGTGTTATAATTTGGATCATTATTTTCCCATGATTTATCCATTTCCAGATAGTGCAAACTATTTTTTTATACCAGATACCCAATTAAGTATACCTTTACCATCCATCTCTATGCTAAGTCTGTATGCTTTATGGACTAGCGTGTTTTCATTGTTTGTTTTTATTTTTAGCCAATGTGTTATCATTTGTTTTATACTAGTCAGTAAAATACGGTGTCTATTTAATTTTAAAATACATGCCAAATTACTGGCTTTGCAGTTTACCTGTAAAATGTATTTGCCCACTATAAAAAATATCTTTTATTTGTAGTACGCAGTCGCAAGTCCAAATTTCACTGCAACAGATCAGGATAGGTTTAACCATGCTATCAAATAGTTTTAGGATGTTTTGACTGGAATATTGTTTTCAGAGAATAACAATTGTTTTATTTTGAAGAAAGCTTTCATCGCTCTATGGCTAAGATTTACTTGAGCTCTGATAAGTTTACCAATTGTGTTTAGTGTCAAACCTAGGTAAGTGCAAGAGGATACATTTTCAAGTGGTTTTCCATTAATTACAAATTTATGTTTTGTTATGGTTTTGCCAGATTTATTGAAAATCATGCTTTTAGATTTTGATACATTTACTTCTGGTTTCCATTTATTACAATATGTTTCCATTAAGTTTATAGCATTTTGAAGGCTGTTATGTAATAATAATCATCTTTATTGTTATTGTATCTTCTATGGGACTTTGATTGAAGAATACAATAAAGGTATAGCAATGAAAAAACAAATTAAATGAGATTAAAAGAGTATAAAACAAAGGTATTAATAAAATATAATAAATGAAAGTATATGTTTTTATTCATTTTGAGGCAGCTGGTAGTACTTTTTCAGGTTGTTCTCCCTGATTTTAAAACAGTCATCTATGTACTTAGTAATTTGAGGAGCTAATTTTTTACTACCATTGTTTAGTATTGCAACTATTTTTTCTTTGTCAGGAAGTTTTGGAGATAGCATCAAATTTTTGAGAAGCTCATTTCTTTCTTTTTTATAGAGACTGCATTTAAGAAGGAAGTGCTCTTCATTTTCTATTTCGCTTAATTGACAAAACTGACATTTTCTTTTTGAAATGTCAATGTTTTTATGTCTTCCAGTTTCTATTCCTAACACATGAGCACTAATTCTTAGTTTGGTCATGGATGACCTGTGGAAGGGATTAATTTGCACAGTTTCTAAATATTTTTCAAAAGTGAATTTTGTTTTTAGATGTCTGTATGTGCGGAGTTTATTCCAATGTTTTGTTCCCTTATTATCATCATACATTGAATCTAAACAGTATGTTTGAATGATGACTGCAAGCTTTTCAGAAACTGATTTAGGCAGCTTTTCATCCTTATTATGGGTTTCTTCCAAAATGTAGCTCATGTTTCATTTAAATGAATCAACAGATTCTTTATACCAGATGTCCGATTATCTAAATGAATGCCGAGTCTATAGGCTTCTGAAAGAAGTGTGTTGTTTTTTGTTTGTTTTATTTTACACCAATATTTATTTTTTTGTTTTATACTAGTAATAGCTAATGGATATCTTCCTAGTTCTAGTAGACAAGCAAGATTGGTAGCTTTGCAGTTTACTCTTAAAAGAGATTTACAGAATTTTACATGCAATTTTTCCATAGGTGTTGTCAAATTAAAGAAATCTTTTGCATGGTTGTTGTAATCAGTTGACCATATTTCACTGCAATAGAGCAGTATTGGTCTTACCACAGCATCAAACATTTTTATATGTACTTTTAATGGAACTGCAGTGTCCGAATACAAAATTTGTTTCATTTTGAAATAGTTTTTTAGAGCTCTATTTTTAAGGTCTTCTTGAGCTTTGTGGAGCTTCCCAGTTAGATTAAATTTGATTCCTAGGTAGGTATAGGAGGCTACATTTTCTAATTGCTGGCCAGAGATTGTGAATTTGAATTTATTGAATTTATGTATGTTGTCCAAGAAGAAATGGGTGTTGGTGTTTGTATGGCTGGTTCGAACACGATTACAGACATGCGCAGTCGATCCTACAACGAACAGCTGAACAGCTATTTAGTATTAAAGAAAACGATGCATTTCACCACTTTTTAGGTAAACAGTAAATTGGTTTTATATAATTTACACCAGTGATGTTATTTCAGTTCTCGTACATAGCAATCTGAGGTCTTCACATAAAAAAAACACATAAACATTGGTAATCGTTGTACGTGACCGTCGTCGTTAACGTTATTCGATCGATGCCGCATTCAAGTTTTTTAAAAACACGTACATAGCAACCAAGGGCAACTTTTTCTCACCTTACATATTGTACACATGCGGCAGGTCGCATTGAACGTGGCCTTGACAATGGTGCGACAAGTGGTGCAAACTTTTGTCCATGGAATCTGGCTGCTAACCTGCCGCAACTTCTCAGTGTAGACGCCATGTTGAATAAGTAAACCTCGATGTGATGTGATGTCGCATGAGGGCGGTCTTTATAGCCGTGGATGTCGGCAGCAGAGGAAGATGATTTTATTCAATCAATCACATTATTTACGTGTAATAAAGCAGCGAGGGTGAATAAATAATCGTCATTTGGAATAGAATTAGGTAGGAAACTTTAATGCGACAGTTTATAAATAAATACTAGTAAACAAATATGAGAACGGGGCAACCATGTGATCTTGTGGTTAATCACTTCTGTGTTTCGTATTTCGTAGTTTTGTTATTGATACCATACACTGAATAATATACCATCTTATGGGGGTTGTTCTTATAAAGTTAGCATTATTATCAAATATTCGGCATTTTCCTTTGCAAATAAGTCAAAAGTCAATAATGATTCAAAGTTGAAGTTCACGGGGGAGGGGGGGGGGATAACTCCATAATAAACGTAGTTGGTATTTCCGGATGATTTGAATGAGGTAACAGGTCTCTGTTTTTAATATTTGTGACTACTGAAGGTAGTCCAACTTTTTTAGATTTCTGACAGTTTCGTCCAAAATATCATATTGTCACAGAAAATTAACGTACACGTACTTGTCCTGTGATCACTTAATACGTTTGTACCGGATAATACGTTGACATTTGTTGATGACATCCATTTTTTGAGGCAATTCGCAGTGTTTATGATTATTTGTGACATTGTCCATGAAATGATCTACATCATGACTATCATTCAGTTGCAATAACCCTTTGGTGATTGGCGTAACATAAATGATATGGACGTGATTATACATTCATTCAACTTATCATATT